CGGGTCTAGCAAGCGAGGCCCTCAAGGGGCTCAGAGCGCTGCTTCCGCCTTGGGGACCAGTGGCCACGTCACACGGAGGGAGCCCACAGGTGGCCACCCCACACTGCAGAGGAGCCCTTTCCGGAGCGCCGCGAGCGTGCCCAACGGTCGGCGCGGCGCGGCCAGCCTGCCCCCTGCCCCTGCGCACGGCCAGGGTCTCTGTCCCCGCCCCTCCCAGCCCCGAGAGCCCGGACAGCTGTCTCCTGCCCCTCGGCCACTGGTCACAGCCAAGCGATGGTTTCCCAGGCAGTCAGGGGGTCGGACGGCGTGGGCGAAGAGTCCACTTTCATGTGGGGACCTTTCCTGTCACTCCTCCTGAACGCGTGGGAAACATACTCGGCGAGTCTCGCGGCGCCGAGCGGGGTGGCGGACCGCGGCGGGCGCGCGGGTTTGCTGACAGAAGGGGGCGGGAGGTGCAGGGGGAGAAGGCGTGAAATCACAGCATGTTGGGGTCTTGTCACATATTTTTGAGCAAGCCACAATACTTGGGGAAGTTTTCTGGGAGGTCAGGAAAGCATGTAATGAAGTTGGTAGAGAGGGCACAGCACAGGAACAATGACCAGAAATAAGAAACTAGGTTTAGTGTCTTTAAACTAGAATGAAGCATAGGTAAGCAAGATGATAAGCAAATTAAGCATTCACTGACATGGACCAGTCACTGCGGTGTCCTCTGATGTTTTGTTGCTGGGGTCTGACAGCTCAATAAAATCAAGATTAACATAGAATTTCTTTGGGTGCATTTCTTGAAAGTCCCTGATTGATTTTAATTAAAAATGGTTTTCCTGGAAAGCACCCAAAAACTAAAAGAGTTTACCTATCCAGCACCAAGAACACGCCGGAATGTTCCACTTTCCAGGAAGTTTGCTTTTTTCCACGACTGGAGCCAGCATGGAAAAAAGGACTCCCTTAACTTGACTTTACTAGAGGCCACCAAATTTCTCTCAAAAACGGGGCACATGGCTCAAATGTAGCCACCTGCGCACGCGGGTGAGGCTTGGTAGCCTTCGACCGTGAGAAACGGGAAGAACTGAGGACGTGGTGCGGCCGTTCAGTGCCGACGGCGCCAGCAGGCTCACGGCCGCAGGAGCCTCGCGGGGAGGCTGCATTTACGTGTCTGCCGCTCTCACCGGGTGCTCAGGTCTCGGGGGCGACTCTTCCGCCCAGCGACTCGGCCCAGCGCCCATGGCGCATGCTCAACGCGCTTCGAGTGTGTAACAACGGTGGAAAAAATAAATGAAATTCTTCGCCCACTATCAGCTGACCACGGTCGACGTCCCAGTTAAAATCTGTCATTTTGTTCTCCTTACGCATCCCCAACTGTCCTTCAGTACAAATGTCAAAGACAGTTCCAGTTCAGCGATCGAAGCCCTCTGGCCGGGGTCACCCCAAACTGAGGGAACTCACTCTGAGTGCTGATACCTCTAGGAAATCGGTAGATAAATCTTACCTGAGTAACTGGCATCACTTTTCATTAACGTAAAACCTGTAAACCTTCCCAGCCACGACCCGCCCCCCCTGCCGGCCCTGTCCCAGCCCCGTCAGGCTCCGGGGCTTGCAGGCCCGGCTCTGGGGGCCGCCTGGGAGCCCCGAGGGTCGGGGAGGGGAGGGCTCTTACCCGGGCTCCACGCGGTCGGGGCCCTGGCGCTGGGCGCTTCCTGCCTCTAGAAGCCGCCTTAGCTGGCGGGGCCCCAGCAAGGGCACACGTGCGCACGTGTGCCGGGAACGCGTTCTCGGGTCAGGGCGGCTGACACACGGGGACGCTGGACAAGGAACAGGAGCGCTGTCATCGCAGCAAATGCGTCGTCAATGCCCGCAGCTCACAGTGCCGACGGGTGTTTTTATCACCCACGCGCCAGGGTAAGTCTCTACGTACGGTGGCTCATAATCACATTAACCCCGTGAGGCAGGTCCGCTATCGCCCCCACGCCCACGGAAGGAAAGTGAGGCCCAGGGAGTTTAAGAAACCGCCCCGCTCGCGAACGGTGGGGAGTGAGAGCCCAGCTCGAGTGTGTCTGATGCAAAGCCCCGGTCCCCGGGACCTTTCTAACTTCCGGAAAAGGCTCTGCGGAATGGCTCCAGGTGACGGAACACACTCCGGAACCTGCCACAGAGTGATTTCCTTTCAAAAGTTCAAGTTGCCCTTCTTGCTGCCGCATCCACTACATGGTAAACTCCAATGGCCACACAACCAAGACGCCTAAAATTAATAACGGACAGCTCTTACAGGAAGAGCTTCCTTCTCAACATTTTCGAAGCAGGAGCACACGCAAGTTTTTCACTTCCCTGGGACCCATTTCTCGTCTGTAAAATGGGCTGAAGAACAAGCTGGTGCTGCCGTTCTCGGACAACATCGCCAGCGCCCTGAAATCGGGGCTTCTGAGGGGTCAGGGGCTGGCACACACTGAGCTCCGATACCTTCCAGGACGCCGCATAGGAGTCTGTGCAAGATATCTGGTTTCCCCCTAGAGAGCTCGAAGTTGTCCTTGCCGGAGCGAAGTACGCAGCCCTCTCAGGTGGCGCGGGGCTGACACGCTGCAAAAGGATCTGCCCTGCAGTTCAGAGCTGTTCGCCGGCCTGAGGAAGCAGCCCTGCTCCGCTACTGGGTAGCGTTTACCCAGCATTGGGTCCTGGATGTGAAGCCTGAAGGCATCCAGTCTCCCCGAGGGCCTTCTTAATAAAGACAATGTTGTTTCAAACTTAAAGTAACCATTAATTTCCCGCTGGTGTCACTAGATTTTGAATTTCAAAAAGCAAAATGTTTCAGTCTCCAGGAATATTTTGAAGTATCAATTTCACAGAGGCCATAAAACCCCATTTTTACAAACTGTGTTATCTTTTTCATTAGTGCAAAGGCAGGAAGCATGCAACTAAGTGTCCCTTTTCTCAACCTCACACTATTGACAGCCCTCCCTGCAAAACGTTACATTTTTTGATGAGTGCCTCTTAGCTTACAGCCGGCAGTGAACATAAAAACAAAGAGGCAGGCCTCTCCGGAAAAAGCTGGAGAGGCAGCTGGGCGGGAAGTGGAATTTACTGGGTGAAAGCCACTGATCGGATCCCCGACTAGTGGAGGCTCCATGAGGAGAGGACTTCTGGGTCCTGATTTTTCAGAGCCACACAGCCCGGGAGAAAGATGGGCACCGTGCAGGCTCTCCCCGAACGCTTGCACAGTGAATCAGCTGGCTGGCTCCCAACAGGGCCCCGCTTTGTGGGGCCTTTACACCTAGCAACAGGATGGGGTGGCGTTGTAACCCCCAAATCCAGACGTCCCGATGGGAGCGGGTGGACGGTGGGCAGAGGATGGAGCCTCGGGCCGGCGCTGCATGGCTGTGACTTATCACCAGCGCCCGGCCCGGTGTCGGGCAGACAAACGCTCGCTGACGCCTTGCCAACAGACCCCATCTCCTCCTAGTCGGTTAGACCTTCTGCACATCTGATGCTTTATTAATGGCTTTTAGAAATGCAATTTCCGCACTGAAGAGATTTCATTCAGCCCCCTCCCACCCTGGGTTCCATGGCGCACTCCTTCGAGGCCCTTCGCCACACAGCTCTCTGTGCCGGGCCAACGCGGAGGGGCGCGTGCCCTGCCGCCCCCCACGGGCTCACACCGGCGCCTCCCCTTGGAAAGGACAATAAAGGAAAGGTGCCGTGTGAGAAACTTCGTGTTTCGATGAATACAAACTCATCAGGTACAAAGGCAAATGCTGTTTTGAGTTTCTGGCTCTGTCAGCTCCAGCTTTTCAAAGTGCCTAAGTCCCAGGACACTGACTTATCTCGGTGAGCTTGTGCCTCACTCTGTCAGCGTGCGGGTGAAAGCAAGCCCTCCTCCATCATCTGATTAATAAGTTGTGTTTGTTGGAAAGGACGTTTGCCGTCAGAAACCAGCCACAGAGGTCCTTTCCAGGACTTTAAATTCTGATGCAGTGATACCATAACGGAAACTTTTTAATCGAGTAATCCGTTGCTTTCACGCCTATTCCTGAGCTTTGCTTAAAGACCTTAAGGGCTGTATGGAACATCATGGCAGCTCGAACAAAGGAGCCAAGATGAAAAATGGGACATTGTTCCAACTGGTTTGACACCAGGAGAAACAGCCAAGCCGAAGCCTCAGTCGGCGCCAGGCCCGTGCCAAAGGCAAAAGGGCAATGTCAACGGAGATCTCCACCTTGTGGTACGCGCCGCCCCCCAACCCCATCCCAACGTCTCTTCTTCACTGGAACGAATTTCACCATTTTGTCATCTATAGATTCAACAATGCAGTTTGGGCGCCGGGAAGAAGGGAATGAGGTCTGACTGCTGAAATGCAAAGCACATCAGAGAGCCGTCCGCGGGCGGCTTTGGAAACCCGCAGATGGCACGATGAGGAGGGACGGGCGGGCGAAAGGACCTGCGGCCCCGGGCCCTTCGGGTGTCCGGGCGAACGGGGCGGACCGGGGCTGCGGGGGGCACTGCATCGGCGTCCTTCAGGCCGGCAGGAGCGCATCGTGCTGCTCTGTGTGTTCATTCCTTTGGGCGAATCCTGCGCCGATTCAAACCCACCAACGACCTGCACCAGCAGGCAGCACTGGCGCGGCTCGCGGCGGCTGTGCGACAAGCCCATCGCGCGCGAGCAGGGGAGGGCTGGGGAGTCCTGTGCTCGGGGCGCCCGGCCGGCCAGCCCCTCGCCCGACGCGCCCCGTGACGCCCCGACCCTGCCCAGACCGTGGCACGAAATGAGTTAGGAATTCGCAGGGGCAGAGTTTACGCAGCTCCCGCCGACGACCGAGGGCCGGTCCCCTATTACTAAGTCCCACCAGGAACAGCGGACAGCGCCCCAGTCACGCTCGCTGCTCGCCAGGCGCCCGCGGACGCCGTGCCTGTGACGCCGGGCAGGGCTCGGACGGCGGACCCCGCAGCATCCTCTGGGGCGCGGCGCGGCCCCGGGAGGCTGCGCGCGCAGGGGCAGGGGCAGGGGCAGTTACCTCGCGCCGACCTAGGCTGGAGCTCTTGGAGCGCGACTTCTTGCGCAGGTACACGGAGAAGAACCTGCGCACGGTGAACTTCCTCATGCTCAGCTCCATCGCCCCGCGCCCAGCCGGGAGCAGCCGCAGGGCCGCAGGACGCGCATCCCCGGCGCATCCCAGGCGCGGAGGTTAGGTCCGCGGGCGGGCGCGCGTGGCCGGGGAGCCCGGCGGGGCGGCCATCCGCGCGGGGCGCAGGCTGCGGGCACAAAGGGCAGGCCGAGCCGGCCCCGGCGGCCGGGCCCCAGCGATCCCTCCTTCTCCTCCTCCTCCGGCGGCTGCTGCCCGGCGAGGACCAGGCAGCCCCGCCCGCCTCCACTGCCGCCAATCAACACCCGTCGCCCCAGGCGCTCCCTCCTCTTTTTCCCCGTCCCGCACAGACCAGCCCCGAGCAACCCCGCCCCTCTCGGCCCCGCCCCTCCTACTACCGCCAGTCAGCGCCCGCCGCCACGCCCAGCCACACCCATCTCCTTGTTCTTCTCCACTACCACCAATCAGAGCCCGCCGCTCCACCGCCCCAGGAGCTCACCCCTCCTCCTCCCCCCTCCCTCCGAGTAGTACTCAGTCGGTGCAGCCCCGCCCCGCCTCCGCTCCGCCCACCGCTCCCACCGCCAATCAGCGCCCGCCCCGGCGCATGCCTAATGAGCCCCGCCGAGGGCCGCTGTGCTGCGCGACGCTGGGCCAGCGGTGCGGCCGGTCAGCTGTGCCCGCCGCTGGTTCTCCGTTCTGCTCCGATGGCCTGCGGGGTTTTTTCTAGCTTAAGGGGTGTCATTATGTTTTCTTTCCTTAAAGCATACATTTACACACTTTGGCACAATGCTCTTCTGTGCCGAACAAAAACTTTAACTGTTGATTAACAAACACTTCTAGAAAATGGAGCAAAACCCGGGGTGGGGGATGAGGGTGGGGACGGGAACTCTGGGCCCCACGCAGGCCGGCCCACGACTCCTTCTCCTCCTCGGCCCTGCAGCCCGGGAGCCCAGACCCCGGGGGGCCGCCCGCCACTCCCCGGCCGTGAAAGGGTGCCCACGTGGTCGGGGACAGGGCAGCGGCTGGTGAAGCCGCCCTTGGCAGCGGTTGCAGAACAAAGGCGCATCCGTCCTCCCTGACCTCCGACTCCATATATAGAAAACCATCCGGACGCATGACCCATGGGGCCTGCACGGAGCGCGTGCAGAGGCAGGGCTCTCTGAGACCAGCTGCTGATTGTAGGGCAGCAAGGGATTTGCCTTAAAGGGAAACATACTTTTTTTTCCCCTACAAATGCTCGCTGGAGGGCTGTAGGCAGTCGCAGATCTGTGAGCAGGGATCTGTGCAGCCTCGCTTGTTTCCCTCCCGTGCAATGCCCACGTGGTGCGTTTGTGTTTGAGACAGGGTCCAACGACCGCATTAGCATACTGCTCGGCCCCTGAAAAGTCCCCAGGCGGGTAGGCCGGCCGGCCGGCTGTGAAAACCCACGACTCATGCCACCCCCGTGGCAGAAGCAGGCGGGGCCTTAATGCCTGTGACGGGCTGGCTGTGCTGGAGGGAGCGAACAGGGCAGATGACCCAGGGAGAGCTGGCAGGTCCGTGCTGCTTCGGGTCACAGGACTGGTGAGGCAGCTCTGCGCGCCGGCCGCCGCAGCAAGCGCAGGGAGTGCAGGGCCAGGGTGTGGGCGCTGCCGCGGCCCTGGGTGGTGACCCTGAGCTCCCTGGCATGGCTCCTGTTCCCACTGTGCGTCCCTAAGGTGGTCCCTGCTTCCCGCGAGGGTCCTGTTGGAGGGCGACTATTCCTGCTCTGGGAAGCGACATCTTCCCTGCGACCGCCAGCCCCACCCGCAGCACCTAGGGGTCCAGCTCTAAGCGAATGCAAAGACAGGTGCAGGCTCTACCATGTTCCCCTGGCAAAGGGAGCAGTAGACAGACACTGGGCACCAGTGGGTCACCAGCTCCAGGACAAGGGAAGGGCCCCCCCAGCTGCTCCGGGGGAGCAGGTACAGCTAACTGGGCAGAAGCCGGAGGGCGGTTCGCCACTGCCAGCTCTGGGGGCGTGGCGGGGCCGGGAAGGAGACGTGGTCCTTCGGCACGTTCACAACGCCCCTACATTTGAATGCAACACACTGTTCTATTGAACTTGGAGAACTCGAGACCAAAGAAAAGGAAAAGCTTTCCTAGTTCAAGTCTGAAATTCACTTCGTGACCAGGGCAAACCCGTTCACGCTTGCATAGCTCCCCCGGTCAGCGGGCAGGGCGCAGCCTGCGGGCCCGGCGGGCCCCTCGCTTCGGCCTCTGCCCCGCGCTGTCCCCCGGGATGCAGCCGTGCCCCCATGCCGCGCTCCCAGCGTCCACTATGCCGTGTGTGCCACGGTCGCTGCCTGGCTCGTCCTGGCTGCCCCCCAGCATCCACCTGCTGGCCGCGCCTCTTTCCCGTGATCCCCACAACCCTGCACGGTGCCTGCAGGAGTCTGGGGACACTGCTCCTTCACAGGCTGTGCCAGGGGTCCTCCCCCGGGGCCCCGGGGCCCGTGTCACCCTGGGTTAACACTCCTGGCTTCTCTGCCTCCCCACCAACGCGGCGATGGGCGGGGGCCCCTGTGGGCCGCGCTCTGTTTAAAGGGGTTTTACGATGATTACTGTCCGAGGCTGCTGCTTGCGAAGAGCCCGGCCCACACTGTTATTTCCTCCTGGTAACACGGTTGTGAAGCCTACGAAACAAACACAAGGAGCCCCATCCGGAGGTGAGGCCCCGGGAGGCGAACCGACCGCCACCTCTTACGCCACAGGAAGGAAAGGGTTCAGACCAGGTTGGGTGTCAGCGAGTCTGCAGACTCTCAATGTGTCAAGCACTACGCGCCAGCGTCTGCGAAAAGCAATCACAGGGGGGAGGAGCAATCCAGAGGCCGACCGGCCGGGGTCCTCGCTTCCCTAGACAACTGCACATGCTCAGGACAGCCCACGCGGCACGGATCCCCGGCCAGAGCACCTCCCCGGCACAGCCTGGGCGGCGGTCCCCCCGGCCCTCAGGGCCCTGGGCGCGGGCGCAGCCGCGCTCCGGCAGCAGGACCCTGGGCTCCGGGTTGCCGGGTGGCTACATTTTCTGGTTCAAGATTAGTGCGCTTCCGACACAGCGGAGGGACACCAAAGGGGTCCGTCACAGGCCACGGCGCTGAGCGGAAAGGATGCCCGCGTGGTGCCCTGAGGGGAAGGCACATGCAAACATTTGATGAAAATGCTGTGACTTGCCTGGTCTTTTCTGGAAATTATTTTTTATAGAGGGGGAGGGGCAAAGAGCCATTCTTGCCGTGGGACGTGGCAGCCTCTGTAGCGTTACTACCGCTCACACCGGGTTGGGTGTGGGGTCGTGTTCCCCGCCCCCCCAGGAGGAGGCCTGTCGAGGTGCTGACCCCCAGGGCCTCAGGAGCTGACCTCACGTGGGCGGCGGGCGGCTGCAGATGGAACTGGCTGAGGTGATGCCGGCCTGGGTGGAGCGGGGGGCCCCACCCAACACGACTGGTGCCCCAATCACAGGCACAGCGACCAGGACCGCGTGACAACCACGGCAGAGGCCAGAGCGGGGCCGCCGCAGGCCAGGGGGCGTCACGGCCACCACAGGAGCCGGAGGCGGCCTGGGAGAGCCCCGGACCCCGCGGGCTCAGCGCAGCGCGGCCCTGCCCGCGCCTTGAGGTCAGCCTCCCGGCCTCCGGAACCGTGGGACCAACGTCCCTGTCGTTGGAAGCCCCCGGTCCGCGGGGCTCTGGCACGGCCACCAAGGAGACGCACAAACACTGCTGAGCGCACGAGTGTCACAGGGAAGCTCTGCGACCGCAGCGTCGGTGAGGAGGCTCCTGTTGAGCAGAGCGTCTGCTCGCACAGCGTGCGAGGAAGCTCAGTGGGAACGGAGAAGCGAGGGGCTCCTCAGGCTCCGGCCGGGCCTCCCCGCACATTAGGGAGGCGCTTTAAAAGGGGGGCAGCTACAGGAAAGAGGAAACAGGTGAAACTATGGCAGGAAGGCTTTGTGCTACTTAAAAAGGAGAAATAAAATCCCCATCATAGGAAAGCCTCTCAAGACCTGGAATGGGTACAAAGGAGAATATCCGTGCCGGAAGGCTTTTGTTTGTTTGTTTTGTTTTGTTTTTAGCAAGAAGGGTTCATCTTTTTAAAAATGTTTCATAGACCTTGACGGCCCTTCCGGCACGAGATGCTTCTGTTTGAGATGGGAACCAGCAGGCCACACAGAGGACAGGCTCAGGGTCCCGGGCGCGGCGGGGCTTCGGCTGCGACCGGGTGCTGGTCCGCCCCCTTCCCCATGGTGGGGGGCTCTGTTCACGCAGCCCCGGGACTGCGCGCGTGGACGGAGGTTTCCTCACACACACGAAAAGGCCGGTGAAAATGAGGGTGGAGTCCCCAACTTTTCAAAGCTTGACCGACCCAATAGGAAGTGGGGGAAAAGGAATTTAGGCCAAAAAACGAGGCCAGGAGGGAACTCCCCGATGCTGCGCGCAGCAGTTGCCCGGGAGCCTGTGTCGGCCCCTGGAACCCGGAGCGCAGGTTGCAATGGGGTCTGGGGAACAGGGCGGGGCGGGGGGGGGCTGGACAAGGCGGCCCGCAGGGCGGGAGGGGAGGCCAGAGCCCCCGGCGGAAGCCAGGCCCCGCGCGGAGCCAACTGTAGGGGGGGCTGGGGACCCCCCTCCCTCCGCAGCAGGACAGGAGCTTCTTCCCTGTGAGCCCAGAGGGGCTGAGGGAGGGGACTCTCCCCCGCAGGTGTCCGCAGCTCAGGTCGGCCAGGGCGAGGCCGAGTCGCGCTCCCAGGGCGGCCTGGAAACCGCCTGGCCAAATTCACTTCTTAGAGGGCCCGGACCGAGCACCCCAAGCGCCAGGCAGAGGCCACTGTGGGTCCCCTGAGGCTCGCCTTAGGCGCGGCCGAAGCTCAGGCGTGGAGGAATTCAAGGGGCCCAAGCCACAGCCGTGAAGTGCGGCCTCCGCCGGGGGAGAGGCTCCCGGGAGCGGGCGTCGAAGTCGGCAGACACAACAAATCGCGGAGCCAGGTTTGTAAGGACAGCAGAGGCCGACCATTTGATCTAAATAGCATGATGTGTCTGCTTAATATGTTTAAAAAACAATGAGGGGGATGGGCAGCGTTCCAAAGAAATGGGATTATAAACCCATCAAGCAGATTTGTAAATGATAGTAAAACTCTTA